AATTTCAAAACTAATATCCTAAAGTAGGCTCAGTGTCTAGGGTACTGAATTTAAAATGGAATAGTTAAAACATTAGTAAATATTCTTACAACATACCATTAGGTACATTCAAATCTATCCTTAATTTTTAATTATATGATTTCTTGGCGTATTTTTTTTTTTAGATCAAAAAGTCTGTTTTGAGTCAGAATGGGGGCAGAAGGGAAAATGAGGGAGTAATTCATAAATCTAAACCAAACTTTAGCAATTAGCAGTTAGCGTCCCGTATTGCTAATCCCCTATTTGTACTCTGGAGAGCACACTAGTTGCTTGTTATTCTAACTTTGCAAAAAGGATATTTTTGAATACTAATAATCAGAAACATCAAGAATTAGAGACAACTGCAACACTACCACAGAGACAACTGCAAATATAAGGAACAGTTGTGACATTTGGGCGATATGAAAGGAATCTAGTTGGAGATGGAAAAAGCCTAAAACATGTTTTCATATCCTAGCTTATTCTACACGTTAATTACTGGACAAAAAGTATTCAAATGGTCTATTTTTATAACTGTATTTCTCCTGTGTATCAAGGAGCATATAAAATAGGCACTCTTTTATGGAAGAAATGTATAAATCATCATAAATGATCATTAAAAGTACTTCAGTGCAGGGATTCTTGATATATTCAAATACCAATGTTCTACATGAATTTGTCAAGTTGCACAATAGTATAACTGAGCAAGTAATTAATATAATTACCTTGGGGAACTGAGATGAGTTTTGCATATTGTAGTTTAAGGGAAAGGAGAACAATGTAGGGAAAAAGAAGCTTCTTACCAGTAACTGAAATTGTTTGAGAAGCATTGTTTGTCCATGTGAACATCCTTATAGTGGGGTACACATGTCCCTTGCATTCAGAAACTTTTTTGCTCTAGCACTACCAATTTAGCATCCAGTTATCCAGCCCCTCCTTGTGTCTCATACCAAATAGGTGAAAAAGTGATTTGCACTTCCTGCTCCTCAGTTCCCTCTCAGTCACAAAGTCCTTTAATGTGCATGAGTCCTAAGGAGACACAATGAGGGAGAGATGCAGATGTATGTTGGAACAACAATCTCAGAGATGTAAGTAACTTCTGTTTCCTTTTGAGTAATTGTTCATATACACACTGAGGACGCTGTGAGTGACTTCAAAGCCCAACCCATATATCAAGAGGTAAGCTTATGGTGCTAGGAGACCAGAAACTTAGGGACTGCCTCAGTAAACTCAGCATCCACCCAAAAGTCTTCTGTGATTTCACTGTGCTTTGTAAAGATGTGTACAGAGTTCCAGATGACCCAATGTATAAACCAGAGGAGAAGCATTGCACTGGAATCCTGTAGAAGTTGTCTGGGCTCTAGTAGAAGGCACATTAAAGCAATTAAGGCACACATCTACACATAGATGCGCTAATGTGCATTAAGGTACATTAAATTTAGACATGAATGGCTAAGTCACATTAGCATACATGCAGATGCACTAATGTGCATGTAACAGGGGGCCCTCTCAGGGCCGCCTTCCCAGTGGCCCACCCACCTGTTTCTGAGCTAACTGCCCACCTTCTCGCCTGGCACACCTTGTTGGTAATTAATTAATTCATGTAAATTAAGCGGGAGGCTGCCCATTTCTTGCCCTGATGCCGGGGGGGCACTATCTGCAGCTCTGTTCCTCCCCTACACTTCAGCCCGAGCCTCGCAGATGGCATCCAGATGTTATCCATATCACTGGCCCCACACTAGGCCCCAGAATACTACCTGTTGGACCCCGCCTGGATTCCTCTCCTCAGGCGGCGTATTCCACCTTCATCCTGGACAGCATAGCTCCCTGAGCTGCCTCCCCCTTACGGATGTGGTCCCCCAGGACCTTTGGCTCACTAGCCCTGGCCCACCTCCAGGCCAGTTGGAACCCCAGGCCCTCAGCTCTGGGTTGTTTCTCACAGTGGGCCCCTGGCCCTTTGACCCTTCCGGTCCTGGCCCCAGCATTGACCAGTTGGGGTATGTTCAGAGAGGCGTGAGTCTATGGCCCCACTCTCTTGCTGGGGGTCCACCTACCAGACCCTACAAAGGGGGTAACCCACCCAGTTGTGGGAGCTAGGGTTAAGGTGCCCCAACCCACCTTTCACTGGGGTGGTAACTGGCCTGGCATTTCCTGGGGGCTTCCACACCACTGAGAGCCCCACCAGGCCACCCACTCCTGACAGGGTGCAGTTTTAGGTCGTACCCAGGACCAGGAGCCTCCTGACCATCCCCTACAGCTCCTCCCTTACGTTCAGATGATACCAGCAGCCCTGCGGCCAGGCAACATTGTTGCCTGGCCCCCCAGCAGCAACATGCCCTGTTTATATGGGCAGCCCTGAATCTAAAATGGCTGCCCTCATCAGGCACCTGCAGGTGCTACCTTCTGGCCCCTTAAAGTGGCAGGCACAAAAAGTGCGTTAACACAGTGTCTATTGATTGACAGACACCGCATTAATATGCATTAGCATATCTACACGTGCGCTAATGCGTCTTAGCTGTTCATGCCTAAATTTGATACCTGCTTTATGCAAGTATCAAATTTAGGTTCACATAGCCTTACATTGCCATTTTTAAGGCGCATTAAGGGTGCACACATGTAGACACGCACCCTTAAAGCTTCTTTAAAATAGCAATTTTAGGCTAAGCCTGATTAAAAGAGGCAGGAGTAGATGTGCTCTGTATGTAAAAGAACAAGGCTCTTTTCAAGTTGAGTGAGTGTAAGTTTGTCTCAGTTCAGGAGCAGTAAGGTCTGTGAAAGACCTCTGACATGTTGAAATGCTGGCCAAGGCGGAATTTAGTAACCATCTTAGGTAAAAACTTATGGTGGCTTCTTACAGACACCCTCACTAAATAAAAGACCATAGAAGGGAGAATCTGCCTAAACGGATGGGATCTTACCCCTCTCCTTGCCAAGATAATCATTATCAAGAAGGCTGATTTCATGGCAAAGTAAACTATGAACAAAGGCCTCATCAGACACAAAGACCAAATGTAGGCCTCATCAACTACAACAGATGTCTCATTTGTCCCAAGATAAACTATTTTATCTCAGGACACATTGAAATTATTCAGATATCCATGTCTATTGTCCTGGTATAAATCCTAAAAAGGTCCATGGGATACGAGGTACTAACCATTTATCTCAGAAAATCATAAAGTGCATCTGAACAGTTATCCTGGGACTGGATTTTTTAATCAACAGCAGAAAAGTGCCAGATGAAGAAAGTACAGGTCTAGATAAAGCATTCTCCCTCTGTCCTGAGTAAAAAGATTTGTAGAACCTGAATGACAACAGAGTAAGTTCCTCATAAGGCCACCAGGGCCTTATGAACCAAACTATCTTGGGCACACAGGACCTGGGCTGACCCAAGCAGCCTTACCTGGGGCTCTGGGGGCCTCTCAGGGGCTGCAGCAGTGGAGATCCAAGTTCACAAAGCCTGGCTGGCAGCCAGAGCATTGCTCTGGCCACCCAGGTTTGTTTTGGGCAGTGCATGCTGCACTGCCCCACTTTTTTCTGCTATGGTTTTTTGTGTTGGTTGGTTGGTTCTCCTGGTGTGAAAAAAAACACCACACTGAAAATCACCAGCATGGGAAATGTGTGCACATGCAGCACCCACAGTTTGTGGCACCACAGACGGGTTTGTGGCGCTGCAAACGGCACGTGCGCACTAATGGAGACATGCCCACAGGAGCTATCAGGGTCCAAGTCTTGTTTCACCATTTGTACTTGTTTTACCCTAGATATTCACCTATCGAATCAGAGGAGTGGGCAGGAGAGCATTTGGGAGGGAGGTCCCACAAATGAAATAAGAAATGAACCATACAGCAAGCTTAAGCAGAGGTCTCCCCAGGAGCAGAAGCACTGGTACTTCTTGTTGACAGTCACTGAAAACAAATTTATTTCAGGTAACCCTGGTCTTCATAGATCGACTGGAAAATTGTGTCTTTGATCTTATCATAGAGAGAAATGACTCTGCTGAGACTATGTCCAAAGCACTAAGACAGACCTGTAGTGTAGACAGGTGTATCTGACATCAAATGCACCAGTACTGTAGGCATTAGAGGAGCAGAGCTCACTCCATTTGGTCTGTTGCTGCTGAGTATCATGATAGCATTACCTGTTATATATGCACCTTACATTTCACAGAGGAAGGCTTAGCAAAGTTTTGGTCCCACCTTGAATTTCAGCACATTGAGGAGTCTCATCTCTTCCAGTGATTAAGGACTACATGCCTACAGGTTGTCAACATGGGCTACCCAACATAGCAGAGAGGAATTTGTCACTGATGGACATGGTGGGAGAAATAGCATTTTTTTGCACATGTTGATCATACCCATACACCAAATCAGATAAATGGGACCATGCAGGGAGAATTCATAATCAAGAGGTCAAGAAATCTAAGACTATTAAACATATCTTCTAATTTCTGCCTCAAGATAGTAGTGTTATTTGGCACAGTAGACATTAAATGGAGAGGCCAAGAGGCAAAAAAATTAAAAAGGAGAATGAGTGAGAGAACAGTAGAAACAGCAATAATAAGAACATAATAGACTGAAAGCATTAAAAGAAGGTATCAAACACATTCATAGGCTATAATTAAAAGCTAGTAAGTGTACCAAGAGAGAAGTCAGATGAAAAGAATTGAGGATCAGGAATAATTCACTATCCTTTATCCCCTCAACACAGGATCTGTCAGGGATGCTGATCAGGCAGACCAGCCTGGACCCAGTGCTGTCAGGGACTCTAAGCAGGCAGGCCAGCCTGAGCCAAGTACCTGCAGCAAGACCCAGCTAATGAAGTCTGCCCAGTTTAGGAGCAGCAAGCATCCCAACTGACTCTTGGGAACACCATCTATTGCTAGCTGGGGCCCTGGGTCTGCAGGCCAGTCAAAAGTTCTTCTGTGACAAGCCTCCTGGTTCCTGGCCTTGGTTTTCAACTGTTTTATAGACGCTGGCTCTGGCTTTCCCTGCAGTTCTGTTTCCTGGCTCCTGCCCCTGCTTTGGCTCTGTTCTTAGACTTTGCCCTCTGGATTGCCCCTCAGCATCTGACCCCCGGATCCTAACCCTGGACTGTGTTGTGGACTGTGCTTCTGGATCTCCCTCTGGCTTTAGTATCAGGCTCCTTGCCCTTTGACCCAGCTCCAGGCCCTGCTTTCCCTTGGTGGCCTAACCGTTAGACCAAACTGCCAATACCCCAGTCCCTTACAGGACATGGGGAGGAGTGAGACTACAGTGGTTGCAAGGGCTGCTAAGGCAAAATACACTGGTCTGCTTGAGGCCTGGCACATTCTTTTGGTTCATGTGTCAACAACAGCTACTGAATGAGAAAGAAGCAAACCCTTTACAGCATGGCAGAAGACACAATTGGGATCTGATCCATGGGTGCATGGGGGAAAAAGGCTATCACCTGAAATGTGTAAAACTTTTCACATACCCATCATCTTGCCCACCCCTCCCCTTCACCTCCCCCTCCAAATAAAAGTTGGCACGTATGAGCTGATCCCCATCCCCACAATTGTGCCATATTGCCAGTGCAGGGGGAGCCCAGGGTCACCATCCTGGGCTCCCCCTGCACCAACAAGGAGCAAACCAAGTGCCCCCGGCGCTCCTGTGGCTGGGAGCAGTGGCCAGCTGATTGTCATTGGCCATACAGCCAATGTAAGGCACGATATGAACGAGCCACAAAATCTGTACAATAACTTTCTGGCTTATTCCCTGTTTTATTGACCCATCAACTGAATGAATATGGGGGCCAAGTTACTACTTAAGATGTGATTAACTGGTTAATCGCATCTTAAGTGTAATGTCCGCCAATGCCCTTACAGTCTTTCACCTATATATTACCACAAGGCATGTGCACATTCCACTTTGAGGATGTGAATAAAGAACAGTTCATTTTTACAATGAAAATCTTGGCTCATTTAGCAGCAACTGCAAACCAGTTGTCTAGAGCTGTTAAGTGTGTATTCATAACATCCATCTTCAGTTTTTAAAAAAAAATCAAGCTTTTACAACTCAAGCATTCCAAAAGTTTAACAAATGCCCAAATTAAGGTTATCTGTGCAAATGGCCAAAAGCACTTCCTTGAAACCAAGGTGATCCCTTTGCAAAAAAAATAAATAAATAAAGTCTCTCTGCCAAAGCACAGAAGCACTAAAATAACAGTTTACGATCCTTTTCTATGGTAACTATATGGTCAGCTTGCAACTTCACTTCTAAGATGAACCAAACAACTGTAATTGAATTTCTGAAAGACATGTGACTTCACCTGCTAAATTTCACAACCGCTTTCGAGGTTTATAACCTCTAGTTTAGGAGCTGCTGCACACAAGTCTTTCCTCAACAGATTGTGAGAAATTTTGAGGCTAGGCAAAATTATTTATTTTTCCCTAACATAAAAGGAAGCAGAAGAGATTTTCTAAAATTATTCAACTGCAGGAAGGCACTTGGCAAGGGAAGAAAAAAAATAGCCTAAACGATTTAAATTTGGCAAAGTTTTTAGCAACTAAAAACAAGTCCTTGCGATAGGAAGCAACAAGTACCCCTAAGCTGAGGTAGTACTCTCTGCTGCCAGGAGTCATTGTTTATTTTTTCAATTCCAGGCAGACATTGTGCCAAGTACTATATGCACCAAGGTATCCCATCCCTGAAAAGTTTACGATATAAATTCATTATTTAATAACAAACTATAATGTGCTTCATTTATATAATGTTCTTTATCCTTAAATACGGAAAGGCCGTATTTTCAAAAGCACCTAAAGAAGAACATAGATGATATCTGCAGAAGCTTTCTGGCACAGGTGAGGCATCCAAACTAAGTTGGATGCCTCACCTGTGCCAGTGAAAAGCTAAGCTCTGAACCTGCTCATTTTCAAAAATCCTGCCAGACACCAATCTGAATGAGTAGGGGCCTAAATAGCTTTGAAAAACTGGCAAAAAGTTCTTTGCCAATATTACTTTATTTCATTTTTCCTGTTTTGCCTCTGGAGAATCTAGAACACAAACAGTTTTTTAAAACAGATGTCTCCTTGACCCCAGGAATGATTATCCTAAGGTCTGACCCAGATCAAAAACAGGAGCAGCATAGTCATTTCTATACTGCCTTTCTAAACTTGCTCCTTCACCAGTAGGTGGCCAGCAAGAGCACATGGCCTGACCATACTGGCTCCACAGCACCACATGGGGGCCCTTCAAGGCTCCTCACTCCTGAAGCTGGGAGCACCAATCAGCTGATCAGCCCTGGCCACATGTTCAGTTTAAGGTATGATATGAACCAGCCACAATGTTATCACATAAAATTGGTGTAAAAACTTTGTGGTTTATTCCCTGTTTTATCATGCTATTCACCGTATAAACATGTAATTGTTACTGCTTAAGATATGATTGACTGGTTAATCACATCTTAAGTGTAATGTCTGCCAGGGTGCTTGGTCTGTTAAGTGTTAGACTGAGGACTAGCACCCAGTTGTTGCCCACTGGAACAAAATTCCATTATGAGCAAAGAAGATGAGCTCTTCAGCTGCACACCAGCTTTAAGACAAGCCTTCAAGTCACAACATGTAGAAATGAAACATTAATATTGGGCCATGTGTTCCTACCACCTGGTTTAAGCCTTACTGTTCAAGACATGCAGAAAGTAGGCTTGCAGACAAACAGCAATCAAACCATATTTGCTTAACGCTGCCTTTCACCTACGCTTCTAATATTTTCAAATAACACAATTTTCCCTATATGCCCAGGAAGGTCAGCATAGATAAAGCAAAGAGATCAGAACAGAGTCCTCAAGGAGTTAAATACCACCCTTTGCTTTACAGTTCATTTAATTGCATCTGAGACATCACTTGCCTGTTCTAGTCAGGCTTGTATATTTTGTATTTCACCCTCCACTTCAGTATCCAAGTGCCTGGGACTTTCAGGGTTTTATGCTGACCTCAATCTACATCAAAACTTCCAGTGCCAAGCTTGCAGAGCCAAGCAATCTGCCTGCTAACAGAATATTTTTGGCCCTGCAGTATAGTTTAAAGAAAAAATCTTATACATAAATGTCAACCCAAAGCTCCTTAAATGGTAACTCCATAACTAAGTGACTACTTGTCACTATCACTACATACACTGTAAGCAACTCCTTGTATGCAATACCATAGTTCTAATACATTACAACAAGGTAATTTTGAAGTTATCACAGGTTATTCACCTCTACATAATCCTACTACAAAGCATATCCCTTCATGCGTTAATTCTCCAGCATGATTGTTTAATGAAACCAAGCAGTTGGAGAACCAACAGTTGTCTTGGCAGTTGTAATTACTGGTAGAAAATGCAGTGACCACAGAAAATGTTATTGCAATGAGATACCACAAGGGGATACGATTTGGAAGTAGAGATTAATCTTAACATGATATATGATTTATGAGTGTAGAGGCATTATTAATACAATATCCTATAATTCAATCAATTTTCTTCACATATCTAAAAAAAAAAAATCCTCCCCAGAAATTATCCTGTGGAAAAGTCTGTGCTCTCACCACTACCAACTAATAACTGAAGCAGTACATTAATTAGATTTCCAACCCCTTACTGAATTATATAACAGTTGTATGTTTAGTCCATTTATTTAAACAACCATTACATTATAAGCTGCTTAATAGCTTTTAATAGATTTATAATTCATGAATTTGTCTACTCCCTTTTTGAACCTGGCTACATTATCTGCCTCTGCAACCTCCTGTGGTAATGAGTTCCACAAGTTACCTGTGTGCTGTGTAAAAAAGTACTTTCTAGGCATGTCTACAAGAGATGCTTACTGCAGTTAACTAGTTAGCTCTGCAGTAAATGTCTCAGCATCTACATGTGTGCCCCTATTAGGCTGGAGTAAACTAATTTACTCCGCAGCAGGATAGTCCACAGCAGCACATGTAGACACTGCCTCAGCTGACTGGGGTATGAAGGTGCTTGAGTGCAGGGACTGCCTGCTGGCTAGCTCCACAGCACTTTAAGCCAGGAGGAGCAGCCCCAGGCTGGCAGGCTGACCCTCAGGACCCCCTGCCAGCTGGGGCTGCTCCAACCAGGCTCAACATTCTGCAGTCTGGGGCACATGTGCAAACAGCACACCTGGAGCAATAAACTCCGAGGCAATAAGCACTGGAGTTACTGCTTCACTTTAACATACACGTGTAGACCCACCCTCTCTTGTTACTTTTTAACTTGTCTCCTATTAACTTCAGCAAGTGTCCCCTAATAATAGTATTCTGGGATTTGGTGAACAACAGTTCCCTGTTCACTATGTCCATTACCTTCATGATTTTATACACCTCTATCATATCCCCACTTAGCTTTATCTTTTCCAAATTGAAGAGTCCTCTGATCATTTCCATTGCCCGTCTCTGTGCCTTGTCTAATTCCACTACTTTGTGGGGGGGATTAGAACTGTATACAGCATTCAAGATATGAGAGCACCATAGATTTGTATAATGGCATGATGATGTTCTCTGTTTTGTTTTCAATTCCCTTCTTCATTACGCCCCGTATTGTATCCGCTTTTTCTGGCCCCCCAGGGCTCGGTCCTTGGGCCCACACTGTTCAATTTCTTTATTAGTGACTTGGACAATGGGGTGAAAAGTAACCTGTTTAAATTTGCTGATGATATCAAGATTTGGGGTGAGGTGAGCACGCTAGTAGGGAAGGATAGATTACAGCAGGACCTGGACAGGTTACAGGGGTGGGCTAACGAAAATAGGATGAGTTTCAATACAGACAAGTGCAGGGTGCTGCACTTGGGCAGTAGGAACCAGCAGCACACTTATAAGCTGGGAAACTCCCTTCTCAAGATCACGGTGGCAGAAAGAGATCTTGGAGTCATTATTGACTACAAGATGAACATGGGCCGACAATGCGAGGTCACAATCAGTAGGGCTAACCGTACCTTGTCGTGCATCCACAGATGCATCTCAAGCAGGGCCCAGGAGGTGATCCTCCCCCTCTATGTGACGCTGGTCAGGCTGCAGCTGGAGTATTGTGTTCAGTTCTAGGTGCCACACTTCAGGAGGGATGTGGACAGCATTGAGAGGGTCCAGAGGAGGGCCACCCGCATGATCCGGGGACAACAAGGCAGACCCTACAATGAGAGAC